TTTTGAATAGTGATATGATGGGAAATGTGTGGTTGAAAAGGAAGAAAAAAGTATTGATGTGATGGAAAATATTATTTTATTGAAAAATGTGTGGTTGAAAATGAGAATTGAATTACTGTAGAATTTGAGAATCAAAAACAAACACCCCCCAAATGAGTCCTCTAACATTTTTCACATCCGATAACATGTGGATGGATTAATCAAAGTCCAGGATTTAGAAAAGGGACAATTTTTATATGCAGGTTTACATCCAATACTTCAAACATTCCTTGAATTTAACTAGTAATATTTAGACCTTTATTTTTGCAATGTTACAATTTATTCTCATCTGGATGCTTCAAGTTCGACCATATCCAGTATGTATTCACTCAAACCTCTTTATAACTTCTATCTAAAGTGCAAGCGGTCCTCTCTACACTACTGTCTATTTTAGATCTTCAGGGAGTCTAAAATCTACATTTTAGGATTTAGGCGTGCATATCAGACATTTAACTTATCAATCCAGTCCACATGATATATATAAAAATTCGTATCCATTTATAATGCTCCTAGTTAGTTAGATCACTGCTTTAGATGGCTTTCCTCTTTAATCTTCCAAAGACCAGCAAGTATTGTTACTCAACATTTTTCAACGTGTGATTTTCTTTGCTTCTAAGAAAATGGTGATAATCAGTCTTCTGATGTTGGCAGTAGTTTGGAGTTTCTACTCTACCATATCTCATTTGGATTGACCCTACATTGCATTTACTAGATTTGTGGCATATGTGAGGATTGTTTTTGTACAAGATGAAAAGTGAGAACGGACATGCCAGTATGAGTAACCCATTAGATATTTTTTTGTACTAACCTCCAAAACAGAAATTTAATTCCAACTCACAACTCATCGAATTAAATTGTATACAAATTAGTAACCTATCAGATCTAAACCCGCTACAAGTTTTTCCACGAGGAATGTTTTTTATACCACCATATATAGAAAAGTCCTTAATTCTCCAAACAGTTTATTTTTTATGTAAAATCACTGTGCTCATATGCACAGTATGTGAAAAGGCGAGTAACGTCCTCCAGGCTCCAACCCTTTATTATTTACATTTTGATCATGCAAATGGCTGCAGAACTTCAGAAAAAAAAAATGCTGTTTACACACATATATTACATGTTAACAATCCAAGCAAAGTCATACCAATTTTTCTTCATGTTTTTGGTACTTATTTGTGCTTCAATATTCTCATTAATTTCTGAGGACAGTTGTATAAGATAAAATATTAAGAAGTAAGACATGGTCAAGATTGAAGCATGTAGAGCCAAGGTACATAATTCATCAACCTGATTTTTAAGGGCAATAATGCAGGCTGTTGAGGAACCCATGGCTTTAGTCTTTGCATGCGCTTTTTCCAATACCCGCAACTGGTCAAAATCACCATTAGGTTCATCTTGAATTGCCCGCACTGAATTAGTCATGAGTTCACGAGCATATTCTCCAGCATTAATACCAACATCTGCCCAACCACCAACTCCATCGTGCTTGCTCATCCACACACATAAAATGAGCATCTTCCCCACCAGTTTCTTCTTTAGCAGGATGAGGCATGTAACATGCTCCAGAAAGTAGTTTTAGAACCCGTTCACCAGAGATCCTGGAAAACAGAGAAAATATAACCTGGTTACAGATTACTTCCTAAATTTCATATTCTAGTTAAGTAAAAGTTCAATCTGGCATGACCTCATGCTAACTGAAAGACTAAAAGAAAGTCATATTAGGTGAAAATAGTCATCTTGGAGTAGACTGTTGTAGAAATAAATTTCATAATGGCACCTTTGAAATCAAAAGAAATGTGCTTCTCTAGTGTAAGTTTGTACAAAAACAAAACAAAACTAAGCATTCAGTAACAATACAAAGCTCCAAAGCAGTAATTATTCAATTCATGCAACAACATCAGTATGATCTCATATACATGCCAAGAGTTTAGCTAAAACTTAAAATCAATCTTTAACAAATTCAGACTGAATTAAAAGCGGTGAAGATTTCGAAACAAAAACAACATCAAAGGGCACCTCTCATCTGAAATTGCCGGACTTCTAAGCTCATCAGTACATGAAGATCCATTGGTCGACAAATTAGGCATAATCCCATCAGAGTAACACGAAGATGAGAATGTACAGCGGTTACTTTGCCATGTTCCAAGAGGCATATTAGAAATGTAAGACTTATCTGTATGGTAGCAGCTGGGCTGGGCAATTCCAAAAAATACCTGAATCAGAGGCTCCGCCGCTCCAATTGATAAACAGAGACTTATCTGTATGGTAGCAGCTTGATTTTTTGCTGAAGCGGAAAACTCAATTTTTGTCTTTGTTTACGCTGAAAACTGAAAGAGGTAGAATTTTAGAAAAAAATTGCCAAGCTTCCTTGTGCATCGAGTGTGCCGGAATTTAGCACGTGATTTTGCAAAAAATCATAATTTCAATAAATTTGATAGAAAATGATCAAATATTATTGGAAAGTCGATGAAAAAAAAAATTAATAAAAATTGTGAATTAAACCTAAGTCTGGACATTAAAATTAAAATTTTAATAGATTTTGATAAAAATTGATTAGATGTTTGATTGCAAATTTACGCGTTCTATTTCAAATTAATTGTTAAATTAAATTTAAATGTTTATCCCTACAATTAAGTTAAATCATATAAGAACTTAAAAAACTAGCACATTTTCTTTTCTTTACTAATTTATTGATTTTTTTTTTTTTTTGGCCCCTTCTTGAAATTGATTTCACCAATTAAACTTTAAAATGATTTCTCACAGTGTTACTCTATTAGGAAAAATAGTGTTCAACTTTACATATAGCTTGTCACATTATTAAAATGTTTCTTACTCGAGTAGTTATTCAACTTTAAAATTGATTTTACACACTATCACTGCAATAGATAAATTAGCATATCACGTTAATAATCGTCACATCATCAAAGTTTTTCTTACCCTAACGATTATTAAATCCTTGTTTGAAATGATTACCTCACATCATTAAAGTGTTTCTTACTTGAATAGTTATTAAACTTTAAAACGATGTTACACATCGTCACTCTATTAGAGAAATAAGTGTATTTTTTTTTACATATAGTTAATAAAGGGCTCGTTTAATTAAGCTTTTCTACTTTTGATTTTATTTAGGGTCTGTTTGATTGGTTTAAATTTCATGAAAAATGTCACATTCAAGGAATTTAATTCTAAAATGATTTCACACATTATTACTCTACCAGAAAAGGTCCTTCTACCACACTTTTTTAAAGGTTTAAAACTTATCTGCCATGATTTAAAAGATTTGGACTTATCTGCACTGTTTTAAAAGATTTGAAACTTCCATTACAGATTTTTCTAAATTAAAAGTCATTTTAAACTTACTAAGCTAATTAAATTACAGATTTTGTTTTTTCCACGATTTCACAAATTTTACTTCATACAAGTTTGAAGAAGGAATATACAATTAATTTTATTTTATTACTGTCGAATTGACAATTTCACCCTATTGACGTCTTTAGTATGTTAAAAAGAAGATATAACTTGTTTATACTTTAATCATATTTTGATCTATCCAATTTAAAACACTATTTGTGAGTTTGTGTTTTGAAAGCTATAAGTAAAAGGGACTTGAACGAACTTCCTTATCATTGATTTATCGAGTAACAAGAGTGTTTTAAATTGGATGGATTAAAATATGATTAAAGTAGAAACACG